ACACTGTGGAATGCTCATATTTATAAATGAAAGCTATAATCACACCTCTTGTGGGAACAGCCAGTTTTGTATTCATTTCACAAATGCAAAAATTATCCCACCAAGCAATCAAAATAACAGGTTAAGTATTTTGACCCAGTTCAACAAATATTAATTAAAAGCTATAGTGTCATGCTTTATGCTAGGTACGGGGAGAAGGAAAAATAGATCAGTCCAGGACCTGTTTGGCTCATGAGAGGGAGCTTTGCACATCATATCATATCCACAGAACAGCTTCTGCTGTAAGGGAGAAAGCCACAGGTACTCTGGGAACCCATGAATGTGCTATTCACATTCAGGTCCAGTGCTTCTTGCTTGGTATGAGAGTGGAAATTTATGGCACACAGTTAAAATAGCAACTATGCTTTCCCATACCCTATATTCACTAACAGCTGGAACGACACCTATAATTTGAAGTGGCCCTGAACTGAAATACAGTCTCTTCACAGAGGCTATAATTTCATATTTTGTGAATACATACTTACTTGGTGACTATTTTCAGTATGGGCATCGTGGTTGTCCCTATACAAGTTAGCAATATGTCTTGGCAGAATGGGAGATACTCAAAAAATAAATTCAAAAGGCCTTATTTCACTTAAAACTTCTTCACCTGCTTCCACATGAAACCTCTTTAACAGAATACAGCATTTTACAGTATACCATTAGAGGTCGAAATTTTAAACGAAGGCCTCCTGTAGCTCAGTGGTTAATATATTATACTGCTTTTGAAGAGGGTCCAATTTGGGTTCTCAGCACCCAGTCCGGCTGCTCACAACAGACTCCAAGTCCACAGTATCTGAAAACACTTTCTGACCTCTATGGGCACCTGTGCTCATGTGCACATACCCAGAAACACAGACACAAGCATATAAACATAATTAAAAATTTTAATAAATTAAAATAAGCCCTCCTAGCAGTACTAAAAATACAACAAAGTGCAATGGGCCTCTGCTGTGATGTTTTCATGTGGTTGTCCCTGTAATCCTCACAGTGGTATGAGATCAGTACTAAAACTCTTCCCCTTGGCTAATGAGACACAAAGCTGAGGCTCCAAGAAGTGAGAGGATATCCCATTGTCCCACAGCCTCAGCCAGGATGCGAGCCCAAGATGAATCAACTTCACAAGAACCAGGTAAAGATGGGCTGGGAATCATGTAAGAGAAGGAAGTAAAATCATGTAAGGGGGAAGTAAAAGAGAAATCAAAGGAAGGAAAGTAAAGAGCAGTGCAAGGGTTTCAGAGGTGCTCAATGAAGCTGAATCTATTCCATAATTTCTACAGTGATGAGCCTTATCCAAATACGTACCGAGGTGGGGCCTGCCTGCCGTTTCTCAAATCCCAACACACATACCTCCCATGACCTGTAATCTTCCACTTGAGAAATTCCAGTACCCATTACCAGGCAGAGACCCAATTCTCCCTGCTCGTACAGCAGGAACATGTGGGGCACAAAATTTCAGGGAGTGATTATCTTTATTATTTACATCAAAGAACTATCTTTAAAAGATAGTCTCAGGGTGAACAATTACTGAGGAACTGCCAAGGGTGGACCCTCTGCCAAGTATGTGCCCACAGAGTGGGTGTCTAGGACATGAAGACAATAGTTCTGAGGAGCTTAGAGCTCTTCTATAGGCACTATTAGGCACCCTCATGACTCCATCCCTAACTCCAGGACCAATCAGGCTTTCCCACAAAGCAACACCTCTCAACATTCTCTAGAGAATGAATCAGGTCACGTGCATTCCAGTCTGTGTTCTTCAGCTAACTAGCATGAAACCTTTTGAAACCCAATTCTTTCTGAAATCCATTGCCTCTGTGATGAGAGGAGCTAGCATGTAGACAGGTACCATGAGATGAGATGAGGAATACACATATAAATGAATGATGCTCCATGTCCCCAAGGAGTCACTTATTCTTGAGAGATATTAAGAATATTAAAGTAATAAAATTATTACTGAGATTTTAACACACCAACCAGTATTTTCTTATACCTCATACTTTCTCTAAAAACATCAAATTAGAGGCTAGGTATGACAATGTATGTCAGTAATCATAGCACTCAGAAAACTGAAAAGAGTAGATCATAAACATATACATGCACGTAGGTGTACCTCAGTGGTAGTAGAATGCTTGCTGAGGATGTACAAGATCTAAGTTTGATTACTAGCACCTAATATTAAAAAATAAGGCCAGGCGGTTGTGGCACATGCCTTTAATCCCAGCACTCGGGAGGCAGAGGCAGGCGGATCTTTGTGAGTTCGAGGCCAGCCTGGTCTACAGAGCAAGATCCAGGTCAGGCACCAAAACTACACAGAGAAACCCTGTCTCGAAAAACAAAACAAAACAAAAAGTAAGTTACACCTCTTCACTGGCATATACTAAAATACGTATAATATATACGTATGTGATCATATGTATCTCACATTGTGAGGTTGTACGGTCTAAGTGAATAAATAGGGCTCAAGCAATTGTTGCTCTATCATGAAAACCCAAGTTCAGATCCCAGCATCACTTGATAGCTCACAAATGCCTGTAACTTCAAGAGATTCAACACTCTACCTGGTTACCTTAGGTACCAATACACACATGTTCACATCTTCACATACACATACACACAAACTAAAAATACACACACACTAAAAATAAAAAGTAAGTCTTCGGTGAATAAATATAAAAAGTGAAATTTCCTAGAAAATAGCAAACATTAAATAAAGCCTTTTCAGATACAGATATTTTCCGTATATTATCATTTCATGTTATTTAATGTTCGAACGTCCTTAGATATATGTGTTCTCATACTTCTTTTATTTATAAGAAATAAATCTCAGCACTCAGGAGGCAGAGCCAGGTGGATCTCTGTGAGTTTGAGGCCAGCTTGGTCTACAGAATGAGATCCAGGACAGGCACCAAAACTACACAGAGAAACCCTGTCTCAAAAAAAAAAAAAAAAAAAAAGAAAAGAAAAAGAAAAGGAATAAAGTTTGGAAAATAACATGCTTGGCAAAGTTTACACCGATCATTTGAGTTCATTTCTGCTTGATTCCAATTGCACATAACAAACAAGACTACTGCTTTCCTTTCTTCCCTGCTCCCCATTTCTTCATGTACCTCCTCCTTCCCACCCATGTACCAGCATGGCCTCTGCTTTTCAACTGGTTTTTCATCAGAATTTCCAGGTGTCCGTACCTGTGTGTTCATGTTGTTACATAAAGGCAGATGCTTTCAGCTCTGTCCTTGCTGTTCCTGTTTAGATCTGCACCTCCTCTGGACTGTAGATTTTCCCAGTGAGATAGGGAAAAGAGTTACAGATGGCTTTAGCTCTTCAAAAGTCTTGAGTGGTTGGCAGAGAAGTTTATAGTTGCAGGTAATTCTCCACCTTTGTAGTCACTCACACTGCTCATTCCTAGGATCATGATAGTATTAGATAGACTGCTCTGCTGGATTTCCTTGGAACCCTGGTGCCAATGCATATAACCCCTGCCCTTTGAGGACTGATTACTACTTTTTATTCATTATATGTATGTATTTGTGCCTGTGTGTGGGTCTCTGTATGGGTCTGTATACATGATGCCTGTGGGGTCCAAAAAAAAAGATATTATATATATAAATAATCTAAAGTTATAGGCATGAGCCACCCAGTATGAGTGGGTGGCGAAAACAAACGCCAGTTTTCGGTGAGAGGCAGTATGTGCTCTTAACCACTACAACACCTCTCCAGCCTTCTGTTATTACTTTAAATTTTTTTTCCATGTGTGTGAGAATGTTTGTGTGTGGTCGTATGCATATGTGTTGTATAGAAGCCATAGTCAATATGAGATATCTTCCTCAATAGATGTCCACATTAAATTTTAGAGACAGGATCTTTGACCAGACTTGGAGCTCACTCATTTGGCTGGACTGGCTAGCTAGAAAGCCTTTAGAGATCTGCCTCTGCCTCCACAACTCTGAGATTACAGGTGTGTGCCACTGAGCCTAACTTCATATGGGGGTGTTAGGAGCCCAAACTGAGGTCCTCACACTTGTGTGACAAGTGTGTTACTAACTCAGGCAATGCTGCAGCCCCTTCTCTGTTTATGACGTAATTCTGTCAGCGTCTTCATTCATTGTCACTGTTGAAAGCAACAGCTAGTTAAGGAGCAGTTGTCTCTCCGTGGCAGTTGGCATGCATCACTTGTACAAAAGCTTGCATAATGCCTCTCCTACGGTATACCCACAATGCTAATCCCTTCTCTGTCTCCTCATGCGCATTTCAAATTTCATTTTCTGGTCTCAGTCCAATAGCACCCACTTTCACCTTTGCTTGTAGCCACAGAACATGGCTTGCCTCCTCGTAGGTGTCCTTTTTGCCATGTTTTTTATTTCTTGCTGTTCTAATAGAACTCCGTCACAGCCTCTCTCCTTTATCGCCACACCAAACTCAAGTTACAATGTTCGTTCCAGCATTTACTACTTCAGGGTTGAAGAGTGCCTTCTTCACTCTTGCCCTGTCAACCGCAACTGTCTTTTTGCATAGATCTTGTCAGCTGTAACTGCCTACTTCCCTGGCTGTAAATACATTCTAGGCTGGTGACGTATTTATTATGGTGTTTTAGCCTGAGACTTAGATGTGGGTTTCCAGCACTGTAAAAACATTCTGAACCTGGAAAAATGATATGTATATGTGTACTTTTATAAGGAAAGCATTTAAGACTTTCATGAGATCAGGAAAATTCAGAGATCTTAGAGATAGATGTAAATAGGATCCAAGAGTGCTGGATTTAGAGGAGATCTTAAAAGGAGATGTTGATTTTATGCTCTGGGATTACAGACACTTAGAATCCTGTGGTAAAAACAGTCAGATTGCTTATCTATTTCAAATATTTCAAAAGCACAATTGAAATTAGATCTTTATCTACAAGGCTTTTGAATATAATGGACATTTCTTGTTATTTTGATTTTTACTAAAATTAAGTAGAACCAACATTGATTGCAGGAGTATATTTTATTGAACACTCTTCACCAAATTGCTGAGTACTTTCTATACAACATTATATTTAATACTTGAATAACAAATAGTTTGTCCATGTTTCCTTATGACAAAACCAGAAAAAAAAATTTAAAGAACGCCTAACACCACTCATGGTCAACATATTAGAGACCAGGCATGTGTGATGGACTGTGGAGCCTCGAAACCCTACCTTCCCGTGTTCTGATTGACAGTTACATGTGTTTGCATTAATAAAACAGGGAAATATACTATTACTTAATAAGTATGCCTTGCTTGGGTTTTGATCTGTTTTTCAACTGGTGGTTTTCAACTGGGATGATTTTTGCCTCCTAGGGGACATTTGACTGTGCCTACATAATATTTGGTTGTTGCTAATGAGAGAATGCTAACAGCATTGAGTGGGTAGAGGCCTGTGAGGCCGCTAAAGCTCTACTGCCAACAGGATCACCTCCCATGACAAATTATCCAGCACATGCTGCCTGCGGTGCCATGCTGAGACATCCTGCTCTAGACAGGAGAGTGGGAAGAGCCAAACAGCTTTGTGATGAAAATACTGAGGCCCACTGGTCCCGCATAATCATGAGATAGAAAATGGTTAATAACTGGTGGATACATGAGCCCCTGGTGTAGAAAAAAAAAAATCTCTTCTTCCCCTTTGACCTGACCCCATTTTTCCTGTATTGTCCATGCATTCCCTAACTCTGTGTCCTGGGACTTCAAAAGCAACAGAGTCAGCTAGAAGGTTTCAAAAACAGGATCTCCAGGAGCCAACTCCAGAGCTGGATTCATTAGGTCTGAGGTCCCAGTGATGCTGCCACAGGCCCACAGCTACTCAAGTAGCAATACAGATCACCTGACCTTCTGGAGGCTTCTCCCTTTCTCCTCAAGAGACCACTACCTCTGCCTCGAGGCACAGCTCCGCGACCCGCCCCCGCCCCCCACAATGGGGCATATATGCTGTATGTACGTGTATATTTGAAACAACATATTGTGAGGAGAAATGAAATCTAACACCACTCTTCTCTGGGGGAAAAAAGATTCTCTTAATTTTTCCAAAATCTTTTTAATACTTTTTCTTTCCTTTTTCTTTAACAGATTCTCTTCTCTTCATTTTTCCAAAATCCTTTTAATACTTTTTTCCTTTTTCTTTATCAGTTTAGAAGATACAAACTCATTTTAAAAAACAAACAAAAACAAAGCCTGCAAATCATATGCCTTCTAAAAAGGGAACTGTGCAGCATTTAAACATCTACACTGTGTGCGAGAGTGTATTCGAGCGTATGTATATGTGTGTTGTGCATATGTGTGTGCATGCGTGTGTGTATGTGGCTTCTGTTCCCTTTTCTGTCCTGAGGCCCTCCCTGCCCCCCTCTGTGGCCTGTCCTGCTTTCCTCTGAGTACATACTGAGTACATGCTCCTTGCTAATATACTTATCTTCCTCTTTCTTTCTAACACCCCAAAAGACCTAAACAAACTATCTCCTTTTATTAAAATTAAGTCTTGGAAAATTTGCATAAATTTTCATCTCTTACCACATACACTGAATTAAATTCATTTTTTATTGGGATGTGGAGTATCTTCTTTCAGCTACACCCAAATCTGTTCTTTAGTGCCACAGTAATTGTGTGGGTGATTTTTCTGAGTGTGGTTAGCTTATCTTATCACTGGTTATAATTCATCTCTGCCCCTGAAGGAACTGGGGCTTCAGCTATCCCTCAAACACTGTGGTTGGCAGTGGGCTTTGCTGATGCCTCCTGATATCCACAGCCTTTCAGCTTCTGCCGCCCCAAGACTGGGTTTGGTGAGTTGACTGTTGGCCATTGGGTTAGTAGAAACTGATTGGAAACGGTAACACAAGCATCACTAATGAGCTGACTGCCGGTTCTGCCTGAGCAAAAATCACAGATAGACAAGGAACCCCTCAATTGCTTATCTCTGGCAGCTTCTGTCCCTCCTCAGTGTTTGGTAGTGTGAGTGGCAGGAATAGTTAGTTAAAAGCAAAGGGCCTTGGCATCCAGGAGAGTTATAGTCTTCATGTGGCCTCTGGTATCAGGACCCGGGCCCTTCTCAGTGCCCAATACTACAGCTTTCGGGGCTAAGGGTCTCAGAGACCAGGCTGAGAGCTGTAACCACTCTCTAGAGGGGTCTACAGGTTCTTTCCTTTGGCTCCTGTAGCATTTTATCTGTTCTCCACTTTATCTCATCATCTATCTACTTCCACGACCCTTCTTCCTGGCCTGGCTGCTCCAGACCTGCTTAGCTGCTCCTTCAATGGTCAGTCAGAGCTATCTGTCAGGAAAACTGCGGGTGCCTGCCTCTGTCAAGACAGCTTTCAGGAGCTGGAACAGGCAGCTGACTAAAGTCCCTGCTGTGACCAGTCCAATAACAGACATCTCTTCCCACTAGAGGCCGGATCCTGGTAGGTGGATGGGATCCTCCGGCGAAATCAGCAGGTGATCAGCAGCAGCAGGTGCCAGACGGGGGCTGCCAAGTGGATTTAGGTCCGTGGGTGCAGCGCTGGGCTGGAACTTCTTCAGCAGTCAAGAGGAGACCGTCAGTGTTCTAGGCTGGGAAGGAAGGCACAAGGATGCTTGAAGACCATGCAGGATATTGCAAACCAGACGCCAGTCACTGGGTGTGCTCTCAAGACAACCAAACCCAATTCATCTATAAAGAACCAGTTGCAGATACTCTGTACTCCGAAGCCAGGGCCCAGGACTCACAAATGTACACTTAAGCTGTTCCGGAGTCTGAGCATCAGAGCTCAGAAACAGGGAAATATCAGGCCTTCAGGGACACCAAAGAAGTGTCTGGCTCTAAGTCCCTCATCTGATGCCCGTGGAATCTTCAGCTGTCAAACCACTAGATGGTACGAGGGTCACCCACAGCTTGATGCTGTGCCCTCTGGGTCTCCAGCATCAAGCCTCTCAGACACCACTGGGTTTTCGTGAGCTGTCATCTGGACTTGGGGAGGCACTCACTCTGGTTGGTTTCGTACTAAAATCAACAGCGGCTCCAGGCCAGCACTGTTGTTTGGACCCCCACACACAACTTTCTTCCATCCCCATCTCTTGAGCTGTCCGTTTTTCTTGTGTCCAGTGCAGCCTGCACTACTGAAAGTAAACACGGAAAGACCACTAGAGAGAAACTTTTGTTGGCTCTGAAGTCACACACTAGAATTAGCACTGATAGTGTCTCCCAGCCAGTTCACTGACAGGACCGAACCAGCCTGCTTATATAGCCCAAAGGGTGTTTGGACAAACCAATCACAGTCATTTGTTTTAGACCAACCACAGTCATGAAGGCTTGCATCCTGGACCAATCACATCCTCTGCCCTTAAGACCAATCACTGTAGTTCTTCCCACCAGGGGGCATGCTTCTGATCACCCTAACTAGATGTGCCCCTTTTTCTCTGCTTCCCCCACATATTATTCAGCCACCTCTCTTGCTCTCCTACCAGTAGGAATCAGAGACCACCTGGCTGTAGCCCCTGCTGTGGGCTAGTCACTAATTATTTGGCATGAAATCTCACCTTCCTCTGAGAGTTGCAAGAAGGGACACCACAGCTGGAGAGAAGAGTCAGCGCCAGCGCTTAAGAGCACTTCTAAAGGACTCACAAGTGAGCTCCTAGCAACCGCATCAGCTTTTCCACACTGCCAGTGACTCCAGCTCCAGGGGTACCAATTTGCCTGTTCTCCGAACTTACCCACCCTCACGTGCAAGTATACATACAGACACACAGACACACTTTAAATTAAAAAACGAAGAAGAAGAAGGGCATCAACTCTGTCCCATCGGTCTCCCATGCCACGCTGCTATCTATCTGTAGGTCCATGGTATTAATAGTTTTTCTAATAAATCTCTTACCCAAAAGTACAATCTGCCTCAGTGCCCCTCTTGAACCCCAAACTTAAAACTTTTTGGCTTATGATTCCAACATTCTGGTACAAGCTGTATCAAACAGCCTTGGCTGGAGCTGTAACTTCAGGAGCCAGAGCAATCAGCAGCAAGCTTTCACATGGATGTTTTGAAGCATCCATGGAGTGTTCCAGACAAATGTGCTGGCATAAAGGTAACCTGGCAGCTGTTACACTGATGGTCCTTTTGTTCAAGGCAGTTTTGGGAGCAAGAAAGTGTCCAATAGCTACTAATTAGGGAGACGAATCATCTGATTCACAATGTCACCACTTATTTATGGGAAAATGACCTCCAGAAAGAGGATTTCTAATGTAAATCTATGGGATTTAGCATTAACTGTGATTTTAACAGATGCTAACTAAGTCTGAACAAATCTTTACAGCTGCCCAGTGCCCAGGCACGGATGGATGGTCCTGGTTTGTCTCACAAGTAGATTAAAAGGTGCTTGAGTACTGGGTATTTGATCTGCTTTTTTTGGACTTCAGTGACTGCTCAGAGGACAAGCCCAGGCAAGCTTGCCAGGGGATGAAAGTTCACAGGGATTAACACATGGACAATAATGAAAAAAAAAAACACTAGCCTACCGTCTGTGGTCTATGAGCCAATCAGGCCTGACCAGCCCAACTAGCCACAGAGAGAGTGAGTCTAACCAGACTGAGCTTATGTGAGCTCAGACAAGGTTTCTTACGCTCAAAATTTGAGTGATAAATAAGTGGTTACTGTTTGGGGCCATTAGTACTTGGGATGTCTTCTTCAGTATCAAAAGCTAACTATTAAACACGCTTTAACCAATTGCCACTGTTTATATGGACACTGCTTTATTCCAGGAAGGTTTGAGAATGGTCTTTCTCCTGTCCCACTTTTCTCTTTATTAAAATTCATGACCACTTCTTTCAAAATAAAAAAAAAAACTTGGTTGAATTCAAATGTTCTGTGCTATATTTCCTCTGTTTAATATAAGTGAAAAGCAAATTCTTGAATACATATTTGATTCAATAAGAAATAGAAAAACAATAACTATTTTATTTTAATTTGTCTGATAATAAAGAAAAAAACTTTTCCCAACAAAAAGTAAAAATAAAAAAATATGGATATTGCACTGGTAAGTCATTCTAATTCATCAGGAAGAAATCAGTCCATCAGAAGCTGACCCCAGAGAACAAGACAGAAGAAAGTGCCCCGATGTGCTTTAATAGGCTGCCATGAACATGATGCCAGACAGTGATCAACATATAATACAGCAAAATTATAAAATGATCATTCTTCTTGGCATAAAAGTAATTCAATGTGAAATGCAAGGAAAATATGTTTCTCCTCTCCCACAATGTGGCCACAGGGGTGGAACTCGGGTTTGGGGCTTACGGTCAACTTTACTCACTGTGCAGTTTCTGTTATTTATGAAAAGCCATGAGGCACCACAAAACCCACTATAAGAGTTTCTTAGGGGAAGGAGGACAGAGGGGATGTGCTTAGGCTTATGGAAGATCGTGCAGGGAGAGAGGAGGGACGGGTCTGTGTTCCGCTTTTTATGGATTCCCCCCGCACATGCACATATGGGCTTACATAGCTACGCCACTAATGTGCATAGATTACATGATCACGCAGCACACGGATTACACGGGATGTAAGACCCCAGAATGACTAAGCGTTTTGTTAATGCATGCACAGTTATTCGGGAGTGGCTAGGAATTCTATAAGTTTCATCAGCCATGAAGTTAGGGTAACATTATGAATGAAAGAAAAAAATCTCATGATGAATAAGATACAGATAAAACTTTATAAACTACAGTAGCCACTCATGTTAAAACTCCAAGCAAAGTAGAAGTTCTAAGCTCCAAAATAAACCACCTACAAGCACATGAAAAAGAGCCATGGTGAACTTCACACTTAATTGCAAAATAGTGACAATTTTCTCTGAATCAAGGTAAAAACCAGAAACTGGTCTTACCTTTTCTCCTCAGTGTAATGCTAGAGAATGGAGGCTGTCCACTAAAGCAAGAAGAGGTGATATGAGGCTAAAAGACTGTAAAGCATAAATAAAGTCTTCAGTGACATATTTATATATATGGAAGCTACAATAAAATCTATTTGAATGTTGTGAATGTAGGTCCCTAGATAAAAGATCACTTTATAAAAATATTTTATATGTCAAAAAAATATTGTTTTAAAAAATTGTTTTATATGCCACTTATAGTCAATATAATATATTCACTGTCTGGAAGACTCAAGATTGTAAATATTGAGTCCCCCAAAATTGACCTCTACAGTCAACAAAATTTGAACTAAAGCCTTTGGAGACCTTTTTGTGTCAACTCTGCAGCTAATGCTAAAGTATGTGGGAATTCAAAGGGGAAAGAATCACAAAGGCAATTAAAGAACACAAGTGTTTAAGGATTATGCTGCTACGTGCCAGGAGTAATTAGAAAGCTGAATGATAAAAACAATGTGGTCCAGAGCAGGTCATGCAAAAACACCAGCGGAATGGGAGAAAATACCTACATTTGACTCTGCACACACATAATTAAGCCTAGGTGAAGGCAAAATTACCGCACAATGGAACAAACTCAGCAGAATAAACGGTGCTTAGTGGATTCTCCACCAAGAAAGTAAATGCTAAAGCCTGCCTCACACAGCACACAAAATTCAGATCAAGTGAATCATAGAATTTAATATAAAAGTGAATGGTACTGTTTTGAAAGAACAACATGCAAGCATTTTTGCTACCCAGAAGTAGATAGACTAATTTAAAAAAAATAACGTTGAAAAACACTTAATTCTGAAGGAAAAACTTGGTAAGTTTGAGTGGCGTTAAAATTGAGATATTTTTAGAATAAATACTTGAGAGAAAGCATTTGTAGTGTGTCTGTTAGCACTTGTCTGACAGAATGTAACATGTTCTTACAATTAAAGAAGGCAGCAAACTATGTAAAAAAAAAAGACTAGAGACTGAAAACAGCTTCACACACATACACGTGTGCGCACACACGCAAACACACACACACACACACACACACACACGCTCGCAGGTATGTGAATTTTTATGATGTGTAATCACTTTATAATTACTTCCAGTGAAGAGTAAATAATCACCAGGGAGCAACTACTACACATTCAGAAGAATGGCTGACTTGGAAAGGATTCGCAACACAGTCTTTGCCGCATTCAACATGGCTTGGTCCTGGAACCTGATGCAGGTCGAGAGGAAATGAAGAAAAACAAACACACAGACCTGTGGACAGAAAAACTGAAATCAGGTGGGTTGTGCTCACTCTGATGAAGGGGCGCCAATTACACAAAAGAAGCAGCTCAGCGTGTTTATTCTGCACAGCACAGGTTAGCTAGTCTCGGTAGGGATTCTGCAGGGCAGCAGCCTCAGGCTTCAGGCCTATGGGAGGAGGGAGCAGCAGTGGCTACTTTCTGTACTCAGCCAGCTTTCTGCACACTGCCAACTTCTTGCACACTGCCAACCTTTTGCACACTGCAAACCTTCTCACTCAGTCGAGGAAGACTTTGCCTTCCCTCTGAGCTTTTTGGGGGAGAGGTTTTGCCACACCATGTCAACAATGCACATTCATGTATGATTTCCTCAGCTCCCACAGGTACTACCAGGTATTCCGTGACTACTGGAATTCTCAAACACTGCTGATT